AGTGCATATGTCTGCAGTCCATTTTATCGTATAGTATGTGATAATCCGTTTTAGCGCCTTCTGTGTGGGCCGGGGGAGGAAGGTCACGTTTATATGGCGTGTTCCCGTTACGATAATGAGGCCATTTAAAACCAATTTGATATCTTGCAAGGAAAACGGGGCAACTTGGATGAACAAGAAAAACGCACATCTTTTTTTTTTTTTTTTTTTTTTTTTTTGCCAACCGCGGGAATGTTTTGGATCTTGTCGGAGGGAGGGGGGGGAGGAAGGATGGGGATGGGGATGGGGGGGATAAATGGGGTTGTTTTTTTCGGTTATTTGGTTTGGATGTCTTTGAAAATTATTCGTTTTTTCTTTTCTTTGCCTTACGGGCTTTTGGGTAATTTGTATTTATTCTGTTGATGTTTCTCTTTCTCCCGTCTTCGTTTCTCTCTGTTTTTATTTTGTTTGTTGCGTTATTGCTCTTTATCTGACATGGATCTGGACTTCCTCTTCCGCATCCCCCCCTCTCCTCTCCTCCTCCCCTCCCTTCTCCTTCCTCCTCCTCTCCTCTCTTCTCCTCCTTCTCCTCTCCCCCTCCTCCTCCTCTCCCTCTCCTCCTCCCGTTCCTACTCCTCCCCGTCTTCTGCGTCTGTGGTAAAGCAGATGTATCTCTATGTAGGATAGGAGGGGCAGGGGGCGGGGCTGCGGCGAGGGGTGGAGGGTCAGCGGAGGGAGAGTGGGTAGGTGTAGAGGACGGGAGAGAGGGGAGGAGGGCAAGAGGGGTGGAAAGTGAGAGGGGAAGGGTGGGGAAGGAAGGGGTGGGGAGAGGGATGGGGATAGGGTTTTGGAGAGGGGAGGGGAGGGGAAGGCAGGGGGAGGGGAGGGTGGATGGAGTGGGGTGGAGAAAGGGATAGGGAGAGGGAGAGAGGAGTGGAGTGAGTGGAGGGGTGGGTTAGGATGGAGGGTGGAGGGGTTGGAGGGGAGAGAGGAGTGGAGTGGAGGGAGGGAGAGGAGAAGGGAAGGGAAGTGGTTAGAGAGGGGTGGATAGAGGAGAGGAGTGGAGGGTAGGAGGGGAAGATTGGGAGAGGGGGCGAAGGAAGGGAAGGAAGGGAAAGGTAGAGAGGAGAAGGAGGAGGAGGGAGAGAGGAAGGGAAGAGTAAAGACCGAGAAAGAGAGATTGGAGCAGCGAGTGGAGAGGAGAGGGAAGAAGAGAGAAGAAGAAGAGAGGGAAGGGAGGGGCAGAAGAGTAAAAGAGGGCTGGGGCGAAGGGGAGAGGGGAGGGGCTGCGGCATAATGCTTGCAAGAAGTAAGATTAGGAACGCGATCACATGTTGGGACGGCGCGGTTTGTGTGGACTTCAAAAAAGAGATCTATTTATTTTTTATTTTTTATTATAATCTTTCTTTAAGTATCCGTGCATGTGTCAGTGGATCGTGGGTCGCGTGTGTGGTGTGCATGCCGGTGTTCGCGCAGCTCGTCTTCTTTACTAATTATTTATTCTATTCATTGGCTTCGCGCTTTTTTTGGGATGCGCGGTTGCCAGATGTCTCCGGATTGGCGCCATTAACCTGACGGCGCGGCGTTACGATGATTTTCTTTCTCTCTTTTTTAGTTTTTGTTTTCATTTCTTTGTTTTTCGTCTTTGTTTGGTGTGGTCTTTTATAATCTTTAGGAGGTCGGTGTTGGTATTGGTGTATTTTTTATTAGTTTTGGGGACCTCTAATTAGGGTTTTAAAAAACTTTTTTTTTATGCTTTGCCACGGCGGGTCACGGGGATGGGGTAGGGGTGGGGGCGGAGAGAGAACGAGACACGGGATTTCTCTCTCTCTCTCTCTCTCTCTCTCTCTCTCTCTCTCTCTCTCTCTCTCTCTCTCTCTCTTCTCTCTCTCCTCTCTTCTCTCTCTCTCTTCTCTCTCTTCTCTCTCTCTCTCTTCCCTCTCTGTCTTCTCATCCCTCCCTCCCTCCCTCCCTCCCTCCCTCCCTTCCCTCTCTCCTGATCCTCTCTCTCTCTCTCTCTCCACAACCTCCGTCTCTCTCTCTCTCTCTCTCTTCCTTCTCCCTCTCTCTCTCTCTCTCAAATTCTCTTTATTTCTCTATTCTCCGCCCCTCCCCTCCCTCCTCTTTCCCGCCATCCACTCATTGACTACCTTCCTCTCTCTTCTTCTCCTCACCTTTTTTCCCCCCCATTCTTCTCCACTACCCTCCTTCCTTCTTCTCTTCTTTCTTTCTTCCTTCCCTCCATCCTTCCTCCCTCCATCCTTCCTTCCTTCCTTCCTTCCTTCCTTCCTTCCTTCCTTCCTTCCTTCCTTTCCTTCCTTCCTTCCTTCCTTCCTTCCTTCCTTCTTTCCTTATTTTTTATCAAAGATCATTTTGTGTTATTGTTCCTTTTTGCTTGTCATCGTAATTATGTTTTGTTATGATGCATTTATATGTATTTATAGAAAGGAAACGCAGGAATAAAAAATATATATATAAAGTGATGATCAAGAAAGCAAAAGAGAAAGAACATAGACAACTATGAGAAATTCGTGAGAAATGTAAACTATTGATTTTTTGTCGTCTCACATGTGATCTTCAAAGGAACCCGGAAAATACTGTGAACTTCGCAAAACAAAAGAAAACCGGAAAAGAGCAAAAAAACAAACAAACAAACAAACATACACCTATGCCTCAGTGCCTGTCAAGATAAACGAACAAAGGAAGTGCGTTGCAAAGAAAACAAAAAACAAAGAATATCCGAAAATAAAAAAAGAGAAACCCAAAAAAGGACAGTGATGAGACTCCTACTTGTCTCGGTGATTTGGCGGGAAAATCTGGCCTTCTAGTTGAACGTTTTCATCGAGTGCGTGCGTGCGTGCGTGCGTACGTGCGCGTATGTGACTTCAGAATGGGGGTGAGTTATCTTGTCCCCAAGGTTGATTTTGCCTCGCCGCTACGATGGCGTGTAGTCCTTATGGAACTTTGTGTTCGTTATTGTTTTATAGAAATGTTTTTATTTGCGAGGGGCGTCTTTTAATTTAATTTCCTTTTTTTGTTCGATCCGCTTCTTTTGTGTGACGCCATCCCGTTAAAAAAAAGAAAAAAAAGGAAAAAAAAGAAAAAAAAACAAGGCTGTCTTTATTGTTTCAACGGTACAAAGAAAACTTTTCCTTGGGAGTTTTGATTTATTAAGCTAACTTCTTTCATTAAACTTTTTTTTCTCTCGGAGATAGTGACATATTCATGTATGTCTCTATTAAGTCTAATTAGCGATCCAGCTCTTCGGTGAACTTGGTGTAACTTGAAATTAGAATGAGTAATGACATGCATATTTATTGAGAGGCGGAGATGAACTTAATGATTTGGTGATGATGGAGGAGGAGGAGGAAGAGGAAGAGGAGAAAGAGAAAGAGGAAAAAAGAAGAGGAAGAAGGGGAGGAAAAGGAGGTAGATGGAAATCGAGAAAAACAAGAGAGAGAATGGTATTAATTTGATAATTGATAGTGTGTTAGTAGTGGCTTGAAATGCAGCAACTTTAATGCTTGAAATGCTGCAACTTTAATCTTACTTATTGCATTCAGCCAATCAGTGTCAATCTGCCAAAGGCTTGTTTCCCTCGATGAAAAAATCTATATAGTCCTTCGTGTGGACAATTAGTAGTTTGTAACTACACAGCAGCATATAGGATGTATATCTTTGGAAAGTTTTATTCTTATTTTTATCAATTTTTAAGTATGCATACATGTTTAGTGCACTTTTTAAAATGTTGTATAAAGTGTTACTACGAGCCATTGGAACTTGAAAGCAAAACTGAACTTGAACTAGAACTTGATTTTTCCCCCCGAGTGCCAAGGCAGGGCGGCGGGATTGTTTACGCCTTTGCGGTGCGCCTGGATCCTTATCATGCGGCCGGATTTGTGTGTGCGTGTGTGCGTGTGCGTGCGTGTGCGTGCGTGCGTGTGCGTGTGCGTGTGAATGTTGCAGCTGCATGCATATTTTTGTATTTATGTCAGTCTTCATTAATTAATTAATTTATTATTATTATTATTATTATTATTATTATTATTATTATTATTATGTATTATTATTTATTGTTATTATCACCATCTTTATTATAGTTATGTTATTATTATTACTACTACTACTACAGCGACTGCTGCTGTTGTTATTATAAGAGTGTTTTTATTCATCCTTGCCATACCGTCAACATCTCATTTCCCTTATCCCCCCCCCCCCGCCCCCGTCAGCATTCAAAACCTCAGTATTAAAACCTGCCCGTCCCACCACCCCATCAACCCACCACAGCCCCCCCCCCCATACCGTTGGAAATAACTAACCGTTCCTTCTTCTCCTTTTTTTTCGCAGCTGTGTCTGACGTGTGCGACCGCGTTACACCTACTACACCACGCACGAGGAGAACAGCAAGCCATGAGGTGGATACGATGGTGCTTAGCCTCGGCACGGCGCTCAAGAACCACGTGAGTTGGGGAGGGGGGTGGGGGTTGGGTGTGGGGTGGGGGGTTTGGGTGGGGGGTTAGGGTTGGGGTGGTGGTAGGGAAAGGTGGGGGTGTTTGGGGGGTTAGGTTTGGTGTGTTGGGGGTGAAGGGTGGGGTTTGGGTGGGGGTTTGAGAGTGTTTGGGTTGGGTATGGGGTCGAAAAGGGTGGGGTTTGTGGGGGAAGGTCAGGTGTGCGAGGTCGTGAGGGTGCTAGGCGAAAGTGGGTTTGGGGTCCGAAGGACGGTGAGGGAAAGGGTTAAAGGTTAGAGGTGGAAAGGGTTTTTTTGTTGGTAGGGTTTCGGTGGTTATTGGGGGTTTAGAGGAGAGAGTTTTGGAGAGAAGGTTGTTGGGTCTGGAGGGGGGTGGTGGGATGAAGGGTGAGGCTGTGGGTTGAGGGTTAGTGTTTGGGGGCCCATTTGGGTGTCTATGCAGAAGTGGTTGGCCAGCTGACCGGTGATTTGGTTTATTGATCAGTGACTCTGACCGGCAGAGGGGTCTAAGGATCCGAGGCAGAGGTTTAGGTACGAGGGTAGGGAAGAGGACATGGAGGTGCAGAGTGGAGATGAGGAGTGGAGGTGGGGGGGGGATAGAATGGATAGGGGGGCGGGGGCTTAAGGAGGGACAGTAAGGGGATAGACTTAGGGGTGAGGATGAAGGGATTTTTTTATGCTACTTGTAATTTCTCTCTTCCATCTTTTTTCACACCAATCCCTCACTCCTTCTCCTCACTTTTATTCATCCTTCCTCTCCTGCTCCTCCTCCCATTTCACCCTCCTTCTTTCTCTGTTTCCTCCTTCATCTTCCTCCACCTCCTTTCCTCTTCCTCTCCTCTTTTATTCTCCTCCTGCTCCTCTCTCCTTCCTCTCTCCTCCTGCCTCCTCTCTCCTCCTCCCTCCTCCTCCTGCTCCTTCTCCTCCTTCCTCCTCTTTCTATCTTCTTTTTCCTCCTTTTCTTCTCCTCCCCTCTCCTCCTCCTCCTTCTCCTCTTCCTCCTCCTCTTTCTCTCATAGTCATTCCTAATTCTTCACCCCTTTCATCTCCTCTTCTCCCTTTCAACTTCTCCTTTCCTCCCCTTCCAACTTCGTCTTTTCCCTCCTCTCCTCTTCCTCATCTCTATCCATACTCCTCCCTCATCATCATCATCATCCCCTTTCCCCTCCTCTCTCCTTATCACCCTCTTTCTCCCCCTCCCTCTCCCCTTCCTTTCCATATTCTAACTCTTCCTCCTCCTCTCCGCCTCCTCCTCCTCCTCCTCCCTGCTCCTCCTCCTCCTCCTCCTCCTCCTCCTCCTCCTCCTCCTCCTCCTCCTCCTTCTCCTGAAGTAGTTGTTTAACATCTTTATTAACTAAAACTGCTTTCAGTGTCAGCTATATGTTGTTGAATAGAATCTTGTTTATTAGCTGACCTTTACACTGAAGCCTCCTATTTTAGTGTGTGAAATGAAGTAGTTGCAAGTTTTATTAGCTGACATTTCAAATAATTATCCTTTTTCTCAGTGATTTTTATGAGATTAGTGATTTTCTAATTACCTTGTTATTATGTTGATGTGCAATGATTCATAATTCATCATTTTGTAATGGGTAAAGCAACAGTGAAAAGGAAAAAAGAGTTGATAAGTGGAGTATATCATGGGTTTTACATTGCAGGCACATCATCCGCAAGGTGGACATCCAGCCTCCAAAGCGGATGCAGCAGCTGGATGAGCTGGAGCGGGCAACCTTAGGGGGCACCAGGGACATGGGGCCATGTGGGGGCTTCTCCACACAGTACATGTGCATGTGTGACTACCATGCCCTGCCATATAGAGAAGAGGTGGCGTGGGATGTTGACACTATCTACCTCTCTCACGACACGCGAGAGCTCTACCTGCATGACTTCGACTACTTAGAGCAGAAGTATGTGTGATCTGTGGTTGGAGTACATCGTGTTTGTTTTCTCTCTCTCTTTCACTCTCGAATTGCTGTTTACTTTAGTTGATATATTGTGAATATCTTTGGGAAAATTTTCATTCTATTGATGTTTTGTAATTACTTTTATAACAGATATTATCTTCTTTTTATTACAGAGATCTCATACCTATCATCAGTGCTCTGGAGTACAATACATGGTTTCGAAAGCTGCGGGCCAGTCACAGTAAACTCTCGCATGAAGCTATAGAAAGAATTTTACATGTTGTCAGCAAGTCTCTTAGCTTAGAAGAAATCTACTTAGATAACATTGGTGCCAAAGCGTAAGTACTTCTTTGTGTTGTTTTTGATAATGTTCTGAATGCTTTTGGTATTATTACCTTACAATTTTAGCATTATTGATACTTTTTTTTAAATTCAAGAGAATAATATATTTTTTAAATAATATGGGTTGTGGGAGACTAGTTTTCACTGAATCGAATGTTTGTGTATACTGTAGACTTAACATATTGCTGGAACATATGTGATGCAGTAATCAGTTTTACATATTCAGATAGCAGCAGTTTATACATATGAAAGGTTCACAAAATTAAAGAAAATTTGTTATTGTGATAATCATTATTGTAGCAGAATGATTAAACAGCAGGATATGTACACCTTTTTTCTAATTTTTCTGTTTCTCTCTCTCCAACAACAGTGAATTTGCAAACAAGTTGTCTCTAGCGCTTTTGTCCAATAGCAACATTCCTCTTCAGAAGCTTGACCTCTCCCACAACCCCATTGAGGACAAAGGTCAGTGGCTAAACAGCTGGTGAATGTCAGCTGTTCTGTGTGTGTTTGTCTGTGTGTGTTTTATTGATATTGGTAACGGCCTCTCCTGTATGGATAGTGCACACAAACAAACTCATTTAGTGTCAGTGTAGTGGTTTAAGGTGTGGCTGCTTTCTCCCCTACATCTTTTTCTGATGGTAGAGTAGAAGTCTTTCTTAACTTTATTCATGAGTTGATAACACTATCAAGGCTTCTATTTCATTTAGTAATCTCTCTGTTCATTCTTTTATTGGATTTTCAGTCTGTAGGCCTACACGTATATATTGGGTCAGTGACTGATTAGACTTTGTTATTCTTTACACAGTCTATTTTCAAATATCTATCCAACCAATCTTAGATTGGCCTAAGTATCAACTATATACCTGTCTTTTTTTTAGCTCTTTATTATTTCATTGAATATTAATCTGCAGAATATTAAGTTCATGATTTTGTTATTCATTAATCTCCAGACTTCTTAATTTTTGGTCAGTATATGTGAAGCTTTCATGTTTTTCATTTCTCCTAGGCATCAGATTTCATCAAACTTTAACTTGTCAATTTATTATTTAATGTATTTGATTTTGAATAATTTTTGTGAATATTATTGTTATTATTAGTAAAAATTCAGTTACTGACCATTTATTTCTTTGACTATAATTAAGTCATTCACTCAGTTAACCTTCAGTTAGCTAGTCGCAGGCTGTTGCACTCTTTCGTTCAGTCCGTCATGCTATAATTCATCCTCTCATTCATCCCTTCATTGAATGCCTGGTTTATTCATTATTACACATACTGATATATATTAGGTTATGTACCAAGACCATATTTATGGCTACTTTTCTTTAGTCATTTTAGTGATCATTACTTACAAGCACACATGTATACACACACACACACATGCACATGCACACCCATACACGCACATCCATACATGTGCATATATACATATTCGTATTTAGTTACTTAGAAGTTTAACACTTTTTATACTAGTACTAAAACATTAAGGTTATAGTGTTTTGAAAGTGAATTTTGATTTAACTTTGATATATTTTTCAGAAGTAAGGACATAAAGACAAAAATACCAAGTTTTTGACAGCTCATCATTCAGTGACAGTTGAAGATGACGTAGTATTTTTTTATTATTATTTTTTCTACCTAAACGTTTAGTTTATGACCTCCATCCCTGACTTTAAAGAATGCTAATTGTTCCCCCCTTTTCTCCCTGCATTGGGTAAGGTGCCTCTTTGCGAATTGATTAAGAGTTAGTAAATTCGAAGATTTCTTATTAGAAAAGATAAAACATAAGAAAAATAAAAGACGTTTTTGGGAGTATTGATTTTTTTTTTTTTCCCCTTTACGCCTTTACCCCAACAGGTTTAAGCAATCTGTGCGGTCTGGTGGCCAAGCTGTCTCCGGTGGCAGGGGGTTTGTTATCACCTAAAATTGCTGTTTTATTTTCTATTTTTTTTTCTCTATATATAATTGCGGTATTATTACCCGCAAGTGCTGTCCTACTGCTGGCTGGGTAAACTGACTGACTTGTGGGTAATTTGGCTGTGGTTGTTGTGCCGCGCTCGTGCTGGTATGCTAACGCTGCTGTCCAATCTCGATGATTATATCCCTGTGATTTGCTACAATAAGTATGCATGATTGTATTCACACTTTTGGCTTTTTGGAAGGTGATTCTCTCCTTTGAGCTTCTTTGATTTATGTATGAAGAATAAATTGTGGTATCAGTGGAAAATAAAATTATCGAGATGGGATCGTACAACATGTCGTACTCCTTAAGGTTGTTGCATTGTCCTTTGGGGGAAGTCTCTTGGGTATGTTTGTCCGATGTTGGAGACCATGTGGCTATCATTTGTGCATGTCCCCATAGGTCAACATCATAACACGACAGGTGGATGGTATTCTCAACACAAAGCTGAATAATTCACACTTTCATCTGTTGGGATGTAGTTGCATTTTGACTGACCAGTGTTTGTTTCCTTTTAAATATTGTATTTATTTATGGGTTGCTTGTAAATATCCCTTTCACAAGACTTGGACGCTGATTGCGTAGATTTACACGCAGGTACTATAACTCTAACTACTTTTTGATAAGACATTAATGGACTGAAAAAGTGCTGTACTCAGATGTTGCAAAGTTAGAAACAAAGATAAAAGGTTCAGACATTATATTTCTGACATGAAAAAGAAGACATATAAGGTACCATAGTTGTCAGGATTTAAGAAATAAAACAAAGTTTTGAGTGATCATAAAAAGAGAGAAAGATGTGAACTAAATAGTTATAGACTCTGGACACTATATTACTGTATAGAAAAATAAGGGACACATTTTGTTGATATTGACATATTTTCTAATGATGACATAATGTTTATGGTGCATCCAGATTTTTGGTTTACTGGCAAATGTAATTATATATATTTGATGACATTCTAAGATACTTTTGATTGGAATATATCTGTATTTTGGTATGCATTATTTATTTTAGGTTTCAGGTGTTAATGTGTTAATCAAAACAGATTTGAATATATATTTATTTTTTGCTTGATATTTGTGTTTAATGGGTTTTCAAGAATGATTGTTTGAATTGTAAACAAGAACTGAAAGGGTGATTAGAATGTGTCCATCACTTATGGTTTATGTGGTTGTAGTATTCTATCCTCCCTCTCTTGTAACCTCATTTTGTCTACTCCTCTTTTAACATCTCCTCTCCCCCCCCCCCCTCTCTCTCTCTCTCTCTCTCTCTCTCTCTCTCTCTCTCTCTCTCTCTCTCTCTCTCTCTCTCTCTCTCTCTCTCTCTCTCTCTCTCTCTCTCTCTCTCTTTCTCTCTCTTCTCTCTCTTCTCTCTCTCTCTCTCTCTCTCTCTCTCTCTCTCTCTCTCTCTCTCTCTCCTCTCTCTCTCTCTCTCTCTCTCTCTCTCCTCTCCCTCCCTCTCTCCCTCCTCCCCTCCCCTCCTTTCCTCTGTCCTCTCCTCCCTGTCCTCCCTGTCCTCCTCCCTCCTTCTGTCCTCCCTCTGTCCTCTCTCTCTCCCCCTCCCTCCCCTTCATTCTTCCTCCCTTCTTCCCTCTCTCCTAATCTCACTTCCTTGCATCTTTGTTCTTTCCTAATCTCACTCCCTTCCTCATTCCCTTTACTCCTCACTCCCTCTCTCCCTCTGTCCCTCCCTACAAATTTCTATTCCCCTTGGCATTCTCTATTTCTTATAAATGTGTTGCATAATTTTACAGTCTGACTAAATTTTCTGCAGGATTGGAAGGAGCTTGGGTAGTTTGGGTAAAACAATTATTTGTGATGTTTTTTTGTGGACACTCAGAAGGGGACATCTATCATAAGTTTAAAATTAGCTGTAATAGAGTTAGACATCTTGTATGCTAAAGGTAGGTGTGTTTTCAACATGTATTAGAATGTGGGATTAAGAGTGTAAGCCTCTGTATTGATAGTATACTTTGTGCTTATGATATTTTATGCATATGTGATTATTAGTACTTGCTAAAACTCATGTATTGTTTTTTTTTCTTACTAGCAATATTAAAATATCTTTTGGAAAAAAAAGATAATTTATCATAATTGAAAGGGAAAAAATGATAGAGGTAAAAAGCAGATTGAGAAGAGGAAGAAAACCCATATAGAGATATTAAAGCATAGTAAGATAACAATGAATGGGCAGGTTTTCAGATTTCATATCCATTTTTCTCAAAGGTTGGTTGTTGATTGGTCACTGGATATATTCTTTGGAGAAATGGAAAGGCAGACAAGCATTGTGTGCATGCTGCTAAAAGCCACATTGTGACACCCAGCAGAGTTTAAAATAATGAATGTATTTAGTATTTTGATTTGGATATTTAATGATATATAAAAATGAGAACGTGTGTGAATGAGGGAGTGTGAATGGGGGGGTTAGTAAATAGGTTGGTAGGTAGGTGAATTTTTGTAGGGATGAGCAATTGAGCGGGGGTGTGGGTTGTTATGTTCTTGGATACATGGTTGAGTGTGTGGTTAAGTAGTTGAATAGGTGAATGGATAAGTGATTGATTGACTGAAAGGTAGGCTTACATGGGTAAGCAGGTGAGTGGCTATATAAATTTTAAGCATATGAGTGAATGAATTATTGAATCTGCATACACTGAATCCATTTATACTGATATGCTCTTAAACTCTTGAGCTATGAGATTTTTTAAGAATGTGATTATTGAATCTACATACACTGAATCCATTTATACTGATATGCTCTTAAACTCTTGAGCTATGAGATTTTTTAAGAATGTGATTTTGAAGCTTATATGTCTAAAATTTAGGAGCAAGTGGGGAAGAAAATTGCATAAACAACAATGTATAAATACCAATCTTTGGATTAGAAAATTTTAAAAATGTAGGTCAGTTAATGTGAAATGCTTACGTGCTGCACTATCATGTTAGTTGCTTGTCTCTCTGGATATTTTTATAGGGTATCCTTATGCCTTATGCTATGGCATATTAAAGATGATTATGAAAATAAGTTGATTCTTAATGCAGGTTTTTACAGTGGAAAGCAATGTGTGTTATCTATGTTGTTTGAATTGATTTGACTAACTGTAATGAAAATGGATATATAATGATGATGATTGTGGTGATGGTGATTATGGCAGTATGGAAATTGTGTACTAATGGTATGATTGATAATGATGCTAAGAATTATTACTGGTAATTACTCATGATTACATGTTTAACAACTGTAAAACTAATAATGGCAAAATAGAGTTAATAACATGTATTAGGAGAAAAGTGAATTCAGTTACTCTAAAGTTCATGGAAACTAACAAAGTGATGGGTATATGATGATGATTATGATGATAATTGTGGTGGTGATGAAAATAATGACCACTAGAATAAGTATAATGATGAGGATAATGATAATGATGATAATAATAATTAGTATTAATAAGATT